GGAAAAATTGTTAAGTGTTTATATTCCGGAACTAAGAGCTCTTTGTATGCCTTGACTCTGAAAGTCTGTAGACTAGCACATCCCTACCTTGAAACTCATCATTAAATGCTGCTTCCTTTGGGCTCCATCATTCAGCCTCTTCTGTCTCCAACCAGAGAATTTTTTCCTATCTTATGTAATGTTACACTCCCAAATCTGTTTTCTTTACTTCTTGTCCTTCAGTTCCCACAACTTCACCCAATCCATCGGCCCATTCCTGCATGATAATTCTCATTTATTCTGCATATCTTAACTCATCACTTTACCTTTTTCTTTAAAACTAACCCTTTCAACTGTAGTCATCCTAAGGAGGTGCAGGGCCCAGGCCACACTGGTGTTGCTGTTCTCTTTTTCCCCTTTGTGTTCTCTTTCGCAATGAGTATCTGCCTTTCCTGTATGTATATGTGTAATACATATAAAATAAATACATAGAAGAGTACTCCAGAAAGTTCAACATGCTATAGAAATTTGTGGGATCATTGTTACTTGTAGGTGTATTTAGGTTAAAGTTGAGGCAGTTTTGAAGGATTCAGCTTTTCTGTAGGTGGCTTGCTTATTTGTAGAGGCTTTCAAGACAACTGAAACATAGCTTCATTGCTCTCTGAATTCCGTACTAGATAGGATAAGTCTGAAATTCCATCTGACTCATCAATTGTTCTTTCTCCCTTCATGCTTGAACTGTATTCTATTTTTACAATGACTCGCTCTCTCCAGACTATTTTCTTCAGATCATCTCATTGTAACTCATACTGACACTTTTTGTGTTTCATTACAGAATGTTGTTTTTTGTACAAAATGATAAATATTTAAAATATAAAATGTATTAGTTTTATAACATCTGTGTGATAGTTCACGCTTTAAGGGTCTTTTGGTACAAATTCCCCTGGCTTTCTGGTCATCTTTTTTTCCTCCCATTCCTCCAAAACTCTATTCTAGGGTCTCTGTACTTCTTTCATATTTTTTTCTTTCAATTAGCCTACACTCCTTAATTCAGTCATTTACTTGATGTAGATGACTTCATATTTGTATATCCAGTCTCAGATTTATCTTAATCTTCACTTCTATATTTTCAGCTGCCTATAGTTCATTTCCTTGTATGACTTACTGTAACTTTAGGGTCAACAGGGCACTATTGGATTGATTCTTTATTCTCCACATCCCTAACCCCCCTTTTCAAATTCATACAACTCTCCTTTCAAAGGAAGCCATCTTGGTGCCTGTGAAGGTGAACAAACCATCTCCGGTACATTGAAACTACATTTGGAGAAATTAATCACATGTAATCTTTTATAATTTGTAAAACTATGAGTGAAGGACCTTCTTTTTGAGAACAGTAACAGCCCATGTCTCACGCTTAATGAGTTATGCTTTTTTGGCTTTCTTAAAAGTTGGTATAAGAACATCGTTGTTTTCCTGTTACTTATTGTCTTACATACATTTTGTATCTATTTCATTAATGAAGCAGACTTTCCATTTCCTTTTCACTTTTATGCTTCTCTCACATTTTATGATCCATTTTTTCATTTCTAGCTTCACTAGACACTCTGGAATCATCTTTTTCCTTCATTCCCATTGTCTACTAGATAATATCTTCCTTAAGAATGTCTCATGTTTTTCATTTTCCATTTTTCATAGTAGAGACATTCATCATCTCATGCCTGGATTAGTAAAATAGCCTCTTAGTGCTCTTTTCTCTAGTTTTTATTTATTCTTTTCGCCATACTAACTTTACTAAGTTACTAGTTTAACGTATTGCTTCTGTGTGCCTCACATATGCTAGATACTTAATATACGTAGAAGGAATGATAGATTGAACAGTTCTTCTTTGCCTACCATAACAAGTCCTAAACTGTTTTTCAGCTTTATTAAGATATAATTGACACACAGCATTGTGTGAGTTTAGGGTGTGCAATATGTTGATTTAGTCCCAAACTTCTTTAATTGGCTTTCCAGAGCTTTCGGGGCCTGGCCTCATTCTACATTTTCTCAAATTGTTTCCTGCTACTTTGTAACAAGCATGTTTGATTCTATTTAATTCTAAATTTTTGTTTCTATTATAGTTCTTAATTCTCTTTGTCTTTTTGCCTTTGCTTTTATCCACATCCCCTATCCCTACTTGAAATGCCTTTTCTCAATTCGTTTTTATTAAGTAGGGTTGAGTCAGGAAACAGCACACTAGGATGGGTCATGGAGAAAAGTTTGACGGAGAGGCCATTTACAAAGTTGTGGGCAGAGTTAAAGGAAACCAGAAAGGGGTGTGGTCGTGCAGCGCCCAGGGACAGAAGCAGTGGGGGAATGATACGCTGCATAGCCCTGCAGGGGCAGGGGAAGGAAGCAGACACTGGAAGCCAGAGAGAGCCGTAGACACAGCTGTAGAAGTGCAATTCAGAAGCTGTGACCTTTGGTAAAGGCGCAGAGCTATTCCTAATTTATGGTCCTGTAGGGAGAGCGCTGGGGAAATACCTCCATCTCTCTCTCTTTTCAGTATATTGATTTACTGGTGCCTCCCACAGATTGAACCCAACTAGGAGCCACACAGGGCACAGAACAGTGTGGAGAAAGGGTGGAAAGAATCAGGAGGAACAAATGGAGAACAAATGGGACAAATACTCTTCTGATTCTTCAAGGCCTACCTCCTTCATTCAAACTTTCATTACTCAGTTCATGCTGATTGTCCCCTTTGTACCAGACATTGATTTGTCTGCCTGCTTTTCTGAGAATAAAGCCCTATTTCTTGACCCATGGGGCTGCTTTAACGGTTATTTTATGTAGTGTGCATCTCTAAAGTGGATATGTGAACTAACGAATCCTTTCTCCTGGATTTTGAAACAGGAATTAAGAGATAATCAGGCGAGTTTCCCCCTGGTGGCTGAGGCTGTAACATGTAGAACGCTGGAGATACTGGCACCCCGTTTTCTGCTACTCCTTCCTCAGCTTCCTTGATACCCCCACTCTCTTGGTTTTTCTCCTGCCTCTGACTGTACTTCTCAGCCTTCTATACTAGCTGTTTTTCTAATCCATGAGTGTTGGAGTTCTTTGGGACGCATTTACCATCTCTTTTTTTTTTAAGGGTTTATTTTTTATTTTTATTTAAAATTTAAAAAAATTATTGAATTTATTGGGATGGCATTGGTTAATAAAATATAGGTTTCAAGTGCACAATTCTATAAATCATCTGTATATTGTATTGTGTGTTCATCTTCTTTAATAACTCTAAGTGATTGCACCTGTTTCCATAGCTTTAAATACCATTTTAAAAACTGATACATGAGGAATGTGCTTATTTTAGAAAAAAAATGAGAAGACATTAATCATCACAATGAAGAAAATAAAAATTCCCTATAATTTCTCCACCCTACTGAACCAACTTTTTTGTACAAAAGTTGTTTATCATTATTTATTCAGTTCTTAAATACAGCCTTTTAAAATTTTATGTATATTAGTCACGTCTCTTACCTGTAAGATGATTTTTGTCAGAAGAGGAATTTGGATGTTAGTCATTGCAGACTTGGACAGGGGTCAGAAACAAGGGAAGATATGCAGAGTCCAAGGCCACAGCATAAAAGCGGCTCGCACTGCTGAGTGCTGTGCACCGCAACGGGTACATTGCTGCTGACTCTAGCAGGTGCTTTCACTGCTGCAGTGGTATTACTCTTTCCCATGGAAGCTTGAAGTCCCTAGCAGTGCACCCGCTGTCTCCCAACAGATGGATTTGCAACAGTTCCTGTTCTTTTGTGAGGTAATTCCCGATTCAGTATCCAAGACAGGTGCATATGATTAGCAGAGCCTGGTCTCATGCTTATAAAGCTGGCATTTCCGGCTTCTCTCGTGGTTAGTGGGCTCTTACATTGTAGGGCTCCTAAAATTCAAAGGGAGTTCAGATGCTGTGTAGTTAAGAATGTGAAAATCAGATCCTTGAGTATTTAATATAGTCAGCACACAGAGAACAGCAGTAGAGTAATACATACCAATTCTGAAGGTGTTATTTCAGGGTTTTAATGTGTTTTGATGGTATCCGTTAAACTCAGTGCACATGTAGCTTCACAAATGAAGACTTCTTTTATATTCCCTTCAATTCTATCCTCTGCTATGATGCCAGAGTTATTTTCTAAAATGCAAATCTTTTTATGTCGTTTTACTCAAGATCCTTCAATGGTTTCTTCCTCATTGCTTATGGGATAAAATTAAAACTCTAGTTTGGCCTACAAGTCCCTTTCGGTATCTGAATCCTGCCGTATTTCTAACCACAATTACCAATATTCTACCCCTCCCCCACGTCCATAACATAACATATCCTAGCCATATCATATTAATTTTGTTTTCCTGAAAAATACCATGTTTTTCCATGTTTCTGTACCTTTGTGTACTTAGAATCTTTTTGCTTGAAATGTCTACTCCTTTTTTGTCGTCTTTGCAAATTTATCTTTTAAAGATTCAATTCAGATACCACTTTTCTGTGCAATGCCTTCCGGATGCCCTTAGACCACTGCATTCTTCTTCATGCTTCTATGCCTTCCCATAATATAGCGCTAATCACATTATGTTGTAATTATTCCTTAGACAAATCTTTTATTATTAGATGCTAATGAACTTGGGAATTGATCACCTCTTTATCTCAGGAGATTTTTGGTGGATAAGTAATGAAGGAAAATGCCCTACTTCTGGTTGGTTAGTGTGTTTAGTTAGTGCACTCCTTTTAAGAGCAAATATCATGCATTCTGTCTCTGTGTCATTGTGTTTGCCTATTCCATTGTCAGAAATAACAGTCTCATCTTGGCTAATTATCTCACAATGAAACTAGGGGAAATACACCTCGATGGACCAGTGATATTATCTTGATACATGAAATGTACTAAATTATACTAATAGGTTTAAAAATGAATTTTCAAACTGTCAGACTAGTACCTTGCTTTGATGAAATGTGTATATGGAATTTTTTGTTTCCTGTTTCTTTTGTTAAGGAACTAGAAAAAGTAACCTCAGACTTGATAAAGTCCAAAGTCACATGGCAACATAAGATGGGAGAAGAAAACATCAATTTAACAATTGAAGGACAAAAATTTCAGGAACTTCAAGAAAGACTCAACATGGTATTTAATTAATGTATTCATGTTTATAAAATTTATATTTTTATAAAATTTATGAGAATTTCAGGATTATAATACAAAAACATTCCCTCTTTGTAAAGTTAACGTCCATAGGGAAAAGGGTATTATGAATCTTTTTAGTTATTAGACTTTAGGACAATAAAATTTGGCCATAATAATTTTATTTCCACTTTAACATGGTGTCAGATTATCTTATGGTACAGTGGCATCTCCAGAAAAGCTTTTGGGGGTGGGAAATTCTATTAATTTAACATTAACATAAGTCTGTATCAGCCTGTATATGGGGTATGTAATACCATCTTCAGTTCACTAGAGTCACTGCTTCCACAGCAAACAAATGCGGCACTCATGACCTGCCCAGATTTGTTGAGCACCGAATGAAATGTAGAATTTGCTGAATTTTGTATCATAATCTAAACTTACTCAAATTTTTTAAGGAATTGGAATTAAATAAGAAGATTAATGAAGAGATTACCCGTATTCAAGAAGAAAAACAGGCAAGCAAGCATAAGATATTTTGGAAGCCAGTAAATATTTTAAAAACCAGATATGTTGTGGGAAAATTAAGCTAAATAACAGATGGTGCCCTGGCTGGGTAGCCCAGTTGGTTAGAGCGTTGTCCTGATATGCCAAGGTTGCAGGTTGGATCGTTAGTCAGGGCACATACAAGAAGCAACCAATGAATGCATAAGTAAGTGGAATAGGAATCAATGTTTATCTCCCTCTCTCCCATTCTTCCCTCCCTCCCTCTCTTTATCTAAAATCAATTAAAAAATAAAATAACAGATGGAATCATGCTTATGTCAATTCCTAGCACATAGTAAGCACTCAGAGTATATTGAATGGGTGCGTGTGTACATTTTAGACCAGGTTTCTTACATATGCCCATTAAAAAAATAAATCAAGGGAGATAGGGAGAGATGTTTGTCAAAGAGTACAAACGTCTGGTTATAAGATGACTAACTTCTGCAGGTTTAATGTATAGCATGACTTTAGTAACATACTGTATTATTTACTTGAAACTTGCTAGGAGAGTAGATCATACATGTTCTCACCACATACACAAAAAATAGTAATTATGGGAGGTGATAGAGATGTTAATTAACCTTATCGTGGTAATCATTTCACAATATATACTGTATCAGATCATTACTTTGTACTCCTTAGACTTACACAATGTTATATGTCAATTATATCTCAGTAAAGCTGGAGAAAGTATTATATTAAAATATTTTACAAATAAGTAACAAGAAGAATAAAAATAAATCAGTTTTTTCCTTAATATTTTAGACCAGTGGTACCCTGGCAGATAATTATTGAAATATATGTATGCTTTGAACATATATTTATAGGACATTGTATTCATTTGAATCTATGTTTATAATTCTCTTAAGAAAAAAAGGTATATGAAAGAAAACTTCTGTTTTTTTTTTCTTGTCTGCTTTTCTTCCATTTGATTCTGAATGCATACCATGGCATCTTATGCCATGAGCAATATGACATTTTAGTAGGGATACATTTACGAGTTTGGGGGCTAGCCAACAAAAGTTTTAGTTTTGAATTCTTCACATTTTTCAATGGTGTCTCAGAATCCATGGTTCATTTTAAAGAACTTTAATTATTTGAGGAAGTCTTAGGAATAGTACTTTGTAAGAAATCATGCAATATAAATTCTTTTAGATATTAGTAAAATGTATCATTAGCTTTTTTCAGTATCTTCTCTATTATGGTGTTGAAATTAAACTGTAAAGTTAAGAAGCTAGAAAATATATTTTAAGAATTAGTTTAGAAACATCCCTCCTATCTTAAAAGTTTTTAAAATTGATATATTTATACTTTTTTAAAGGATATCATCATTTCTTTTCAACATATGCAGCAGTTACTCCAGCAACAGACTAAAGCTAATACTGAACTGGAAGCAGAATTGAAGGCGCAAAGAGAAAATAATCAGGTTATATTTATATATATATATATATATATATACACACACACACACACACACACACACACACACACACACTTTAAAGTATGTTTTCCTTTGCACTCGTCTGTCTCACTTTATCTAAGATCATTTTGAATTTTAGGGACAAGGTATGGCCTCCTTCATCAACTTATCAGTGTCTAAAGCAATAAGCAGATTTTTGAAAATGTAAGTCATTAAATATTCAGTTATATCAAGCATCCGATTTAATTTTGTAACAGATGGAATGGGATTTTTTTCTTTGTTTTAGAGTTGTGGCCAAGATCAAAACTGAAAATAAAAGATGACAAATATCCCCACATTCTAAGGGAGCCAACAGTGAGCCCCCAGAAACTGGGACAGATCCCTCTTCACAGAAATGTGATCGGACCGGCCCTGCTACCTCAGTATTCACTGTTGTCTTCTTTCCAGCACTTGTTAGAAAATGGTTGAGGAGGGGAAGAAGTTATGGTCACTGGTGTCTGGGAGTGAGGGTTCAATAAGAGAGGCTTTTTTCTTGCATTTCTAGTGGAGGGGGCTGTTCATTACCCCTCATGAAACTAAGTGGAGTCTATAGGAAAATGACTCGTAAAGATCGGGGTACAAGCAGAGGAGTGGGGACTGCCATCTTGTTTCTTAGATGGATGCCTGAGATGCTGCAGAAACCCGAATGTTCACTCCAGTGTTGCTAGTAGAATAGAATGTGGTAAGTTCATGTGGAAGAACTTGACATACATTTCTTGAGGTTAGAACTTAGAGAATAATGCTCAGTTATGAGCATCTAGAAATTTCAAAGAGGAAAGTTTTTGGAGTAATCAGTGTCAGTGGGGCTTGGATTGTATTATGCTTCTTCCAATACTCTATGCACATGGAAGGATGCGGAAGAGAGAACTTGGGTGGTACTTTGGCTCCACAGGAAGGACCTTGGAGGTTAGTGGAAGGGTGGGAACTGTCTTGTGTACTACTGGGTCAAATGATGGGATGTCCAACTCAAGAAAAGGAGCTGGGGACATATTCCACTAGAGTGGCCAGAAGAAGGTATTTATGCCCCTCCAAAGGGATTCTTGGTAATAAAGGGTGACGCTGAACATTTCCTGAGAAAACTGCAATTATCTCCTGTGTAAAGACCACCATCAGCAGAGACCAGGCCCAGCTTCGTGGGTATGTGACCAGTGTAGTTGCATAGGGACCCATCCTCAGAAGGGGTTTGTGCTTCAGGCCTAATGCTCTGTGTGTTACTGTCTTGAAATTTTTATAAATTTTTATCTGTGAATTTGTTTTGTAAATTACATCTGATGATGCACTGGGGGCTTGGAGCCTCAGCTCAGGTGTGCTCCTGTCTCCCACTGCCTCCCAGGACCGGTTCCTCTCTGCTGATTCTCCCACCCTTTGGTGCCCTGGGCCCTGCATGGTCTCATCCTCCCTGCTCTTGTCTCTCAACTGTGGCACTTGGGTCACTTTGGTGGGGAGAGGCCTGTGTTCTGCTGTTGCCCTTTACCCCTAGTGGAGGCTCAGCTGCAGCAGGGAGGGTCTGAGTGGAGTGCACGTACCCTGCAGCACCCTCCCTCTTGGGATGGCAGTGCCTTGGGTTGTTAGGTAGGTGACTGGATAGGCAAATCTCTTCCTGGTGGTTGCAATCTCTCAGGGTTACCCATCTGCCATGGGTTGGGGCAGAGGGCCTGTGGGATAGGGAGATTGACTTCCCCATACCCAGCCAGGACATAGGACATGGGTCCAGCCACTTGCAGGAGGTAGAGCCCAGTACGTGGTGGATCATATGCATGGCCTTTAGGCACCTGTAAGGATCTGCATTTGCCCTGCGAGTATCCCCCTACCTGGAGGACCATGATATTAAATAGGGAATAAAAAGGCCCATGATAGGTTGACAGGGAGAGAGAGAAAACGAGGAATAGAGGTAGTGAGGGACCATAGGAAAGAAAAAGTTATGTAGTATCTTTAGGAGCACTTTTCTTTTTTGCTTTTTTTTGTTTTGTTTTGCACTGGGCCTCACAAATTAGGCCGAGTCTATCATAATTGAATGGAACCAAACCTAACCTGAACAATGCAAGATTTCGCTCTTCACTATTGATGTTCTGTGACTGGTCATGCAAAGACATTTTGTCTTTCTTATTTCTCTTGCCTACACCCAATTCTGTAGGAGTTAGATCTAGAAGAGGGGAAGGGAAGAGGTGTACTTCAGTCAAACCTCTTTCTCCTCTTAACCTCTTCATCTCCTCCAATAATAGACTAGTAAAAATCATTTCTCCGCAAGTCCAGTTATAAGCAAGGATCCCCCTCCCCCAGCCTTCTCTACCCACCTTCAGATGAATAACTCAAACTATTTCTCTGACACGTTGAATCTTCTCCCAAGAAACACATGATATAATTTACCCAAGTTTTTTGTGAGTAGCAGCTATCAGGATTGTCTCTTAATCCATTTAAAGGAATTGAAACATCGATTTATAGGATGAACTAAATATTAGAGATTAGTCAGTGCAATTATCATTTCATGATGAACTAGAGATCTAGAAAGTAATTCAAGGCCTCACAGTTAGTGGCAAAACCAGGAGGAAATATTTGTCCTGATTCCATTTCAGCACTATTTCTACATTACCTTAATATTTTTTGTAGACCTATGAGAGCTGCCACTTTTGTTAGATCAGTTATATGAAAACCACACTTTTAAATTACCTTTCATGAACTCTAAATCCAATATTTATGTATCATTAAATTTTCCAGAACCTGTAGTAGACATAGATATATATAGTCATGTGTTTCTTTGAGTTAATGATGACTGAAACTCTGGTTCCAGGATCTTTTAATTATGCTACTAGTATTTTAGATATGCCAAATGCCTCTCTTTTTACCTAGCACCATTATTACCTGAGCCTTGATAGTATAAAGAGAAACTAGATTTCATATAGTAAAATTTCAAACACAGTATTGGCAAGAGTAGGATAGAATTGTAAACTTTTTTTTTATAAGTAAGGACAGTAAAAAATAAACAATACCATCTATCATCATTTTCACTTCATAAAAGAGAACATTTTAACACTAACACTATACTAACAATGTAATCTCAGGAAAAAGGACAGTCTGTTACAAGAAAAGACACTTGATGACCTTATATTGACATTTTTTGCCATGGACTAGGGAAATTTTGTCATGGATCAGTGCTTGTTGCAGACTGGTTTTGGAGAACCACTGATATATAGTATAACAAAATATTAATGTAGAACTGTTGCTGAGGATTAAGCTGCATAGACATCACAAGTGTTTTCTCGAGCATTCTAATTCCACCTGTACTAAAAGGGATCATTGCTCTTGGTAATGGCCAACTGTTTTTCAGGGCTCTGCAATCATGCTGCCATCTGTCTTATTTTTTTTTTTTATAGTACCATTTGGAGCACAGAGAACTAAATTCTCATGATGGAGAATATTTTCTACTATGATTTAATTACAGTTTAGTCCAGATGTATGTATGATTATACTGTTACAGTGTTAACAAGAATAATTTACTTAGTTTGCTACTATAGTCATAGCATTAACCAGGATAATTTACTGAGTTTTTGGTATATAAAGTATTAACAGATAGTTTTATTTTAACTTTCCACAATATCCATTTTTTTTCAGCTAGGGTTTTAAGATTGTTAATCCAGGTGCAAATAATACCCAATAATTTCTTGATAGAATATACATTCTATGAAAACAGTAAATTTTCACTGACATAGCCTAAAAGAGTATCTGGCATGTAGTAGGAGCTCATTAAATTTTACTAAATTAACGAATGACTAACAATAAGTAAATTCAGACTGTTTGCAAGGTCAGATTTTGCCAGGTTAGGGCTTCTAGTTAAACATTGACTTGAACCCACACATTCACTTCTATTTCTTTCTGACACTGCAATAAAATGACAATAATAAATCTACAAGGACAAGAAAATAGCAAGCGGAAACAATAAAAATAAAGTTTTAAAAGTGAAAACCAGATGGAAAATTAATAATTTACTTAGTAAATGAGAGGAAGTAGAAATCCAAGTCAAAGATGCCAAGATGGTCAGGAATTGCATGTGCCTCTAGAAGCAGGGTGCACGACTGAAGCCAAAAGCGAGGTCTTTTCAAGAAGCTGTTGTACCTCCATTTCTCTTCCCTGTGTTCCTGCACTAATAATCCCTGCCTGTTTCCTGCTTGGAAGAAGGCTGGAGGTTTACCCTGGCAGTTGGAAAGACAATTGAGACTGGGGAGATCCAGTGGTGTGCTGGAGACAGCTGAGCCAGGGAGAGCTGTTGGTATTTTGTGAGCTGGTTGTTACACTGAGACCATTGTGGGAATAGTTAGCGCTAATGAAATTGGCAAATGCTGCAAATCAGGTTTTGTTTTGTTTTCTGAGTGCCCATTTATTAGCATACTACTGGTAGTATCATATTGAAAACAGGGTGGAAAGACTAAATGCTGAAAGCGTGACCTCCCAGCCCACTTTCCCCATTTAGAGGGCAGCTAGCCTTATCACTTCAGTCAGGAGAGTAAGATCCCTTTCTGGGGGAACTAACCTGCTTGTGAGGAAAGCTGTTGCTGCTGCAATTAAGCCTTCCCAGTGAAACAGCCCTGCCACATCACCTGTAGTGGAACCCACCATTTGCCAAAACTTTCAACTGGCTTTTTAATACTTCATTCTTAAATATGAACAGGCAGTTAAGGATCACTGGACATTTGAAGGAAGTCTCCAATGTGAAAAACAGACAAGACATACAGGGTAATGAAAAACACTTGGAGAAACTAAGAAAATGTGTTCATATAAGAGAAATATATTTTTTAATCCACAAGACAAGAATTAGGAGTCTATAAAAGGAAACATTCATAGAATAAAAGAGAGCCCTTAAATATATTAGCAGACATAAATGTACAGTGGAAACGTTGGAAGATAATATTGAGATAGTCTTCTAGAAAGTAGAACCAAAAGACAAAAAGATGGAAAATAGGAAAGAAGGGAAATTAAGGGCTAAGTCTAAGAGGTCTGGTGATTTTAGAGAGAACAGAGAAAATTGAAGGAGAGGAAATGACCAAAGAAATAATATAAGAAAGTAACCCAAGACTGAACAATTTGAGTTTGTTTTTGCCCAACACCAGTGAATATGATTATGAAACTTCATACTAAAAGAGAAAATTCTAAAACTGTAGGGGAGAAAGTAGGTCACGTGCTAAGGATTCAAAATGAGAGTGGCCACATAATGGCTTCAGACTTCTCACTGGCAACTCTGGAAGGTGGGAGATAATAGCACCAGGCCTTTGGAGGTTGGGGACATTGATTCCCAGAGCAGAATCGAATCATATTCAGCAAAATGAAAGTACTGGTTGAATAAAGGTATTTTCAGACATGCACTGTCTCAAAAATGTGCTATTTATCACTTTTTTATCATGAAGTAATAGAAAGTTTGTTTTACCAAGACAATGGAATGAACCAGGAAAGGGGAAGCCATAGGAAGCCACAGCAGACCCACCACAGGGGGATAGAAGGAAATCCTCAGAAATAACCTGATCAGTGTAGCGGACCGAAAGAACAGACCCAAATTGTAATGGAAAGTTGGAATGTCTCCAGAAAATGGAAAACTGAGAGAATACCTGTCACTTGCAGGTGTTTGGTTTTGTTTTGTTGTTAAGCTGGGACTATGGGTAGGGACAAGAAATGACTGACATATCTAATACAGTACTTTAGGAATAGAATGCTCTTGATCATTTATTGTTACTAAGGTAGACTGTGGTATATTCTCTTAATATCTCCTCTAAACTTTCATTTGTGTATTCTAAAATAGTGTTATCAATATAGATACTATAAAATAGTATTTATTAGAATGTTAGAGTACTAAGCACCTATTAAAAATACACCATTGTAAATACTTAGATATTACCCTGTTATTATGATGTGTACCTATAAATTAAGAGAAAAATATGACTTCTATAAATGTATTTACAGTATCCTAAAGTAGAGGTGGCCAAAATAAGTATTCACTGAGTGCTTTCAAAGTGCATAGCACCTTATGAGCTAGAGGACAATCTTCATGTTAAAATTGTAAAATGCTTTTTATTACATGTTTCCATAATTTTGCATAATTATGCCTCCATATTGACATTTTAGATATAATTGAGAACTCTTTATATAGAAGGAACATATGAAGCGTTTAGAATGAGATAGATCTATATATAATGATTTGGAAAGTAAGCAAGACATATTATTCATTTTTAAAAAACAGGTGGCAGAACAACACTATGTATGGTATTGTCTCATCCATATTTAAAAATATTCTTTATGCTTATAAACGATTTCTGGAAGGCTACACAAGAAACTGCTAGAGTGGTTACCTCTGGAGAGGAAACCTGGAAAACCGATAGAGGAAAACTTCGTCTTTTCTTTCTTTTGTGTGGCTTGAAATGTTTACCCTGAATGTACATAGCTTTAACAATGATGACAAATGACGCTTAAGAATGCCAGATGTATTAGACATGTCGCTAGAGTTCTGACTATTTGTCTGTTTACAGGGGTTCACTTGGATTATCAACAGACATTAGAGAAACCTAGTAATATTGTTGGCACTGATGTTAATAGCTTTAAAACCTGTGTCTTAGAACACAGTGGTTTTACTCTTTAAAGGTTGTTTTTGGGGGGAGAGGGTAGTGTGAAGGTGTTTATATTATGCTAATTTATGAAGTAATAAGTTAACATAGTAAATATTGGAGGTTTACTAAAAAGTCCTAATTTGAAATTAAATAGTAAAATTGTATGTAAGGGACTTCTAGCCAGTTGATTTAAAAAATAAAAACAGATACGGAAAAAATGTTCTGTGGTAGTTAAAATTTTTTAGTAGGGTTATGCTGGATTATGCTACATTTCATATTTTTCAGTGCTGTACTTTATATTACTTTTTCAGTACATTAAAACTTATGCAGTGAAACTGAATAATGGCAATGTTTTTATACCCTTTTATAGCCGTTTCTTTTTCATAACTCCCCCTATTTCCTGTTAACTAAACTATAAGCACCTTTCTGTTAATTTATGAAAATTATTGTTGAGATAGCACATTATCACTGATCTGTATGGCACTTTCTGCATGTTAGAAGCGAAGGTCCAAGCAACATAAAACACATCAAAATTCATTAATGTGGTATTGATTATTTTTTGGATAATTAATTTTATTGCAGACCCTTGAAAGAGATAATGAGGTGCAAAGGGAGAAGGTAAAAGAAAATGAAGAAAAGTTCCTTAATCTTCAAAATGAGCATGAGAAAGCACTAAGAACTTGGAAAAAGCATGTAGGTTTATTAAATGTTAAAATATTAAAATGTTTGGAATAGTTGTAGACATTGAAAATAACTGTTAAATGCAAAGGAAATATTGCAAAAATAATATAGGAATAAAGTTGGAACATTTTTCTTTTGCACTTATAGTTCCAAGAAGTGAATGCTTTTTAAAAGCTAAATTGAATAAAATTTTCTGTAATGCTTTTATGCATGAAAACTTGTGTACATGTGTGCATAATTTGAATGACTTCCCATATGTGACAAAGAAAAATTAATTTACCTTTTCATAAAACCATTGATAGTACTGTAGTAAATGATTAAAATAAAGAATTATATAGGTATTATTGTTAGCTGATCTATTTAGCTTTCTTCAGTTTTTTTGAGATGTATTAAAGCCATGTTTAGAACATATGTGCAGTAGTTAAGTTCTGTAGTGTTGACATTTGGTCCTAAGAATTGATGTTATAAACATGGCTATTTTCTTAAACCCCATGTTTGATACTAAATTTTAATTTTAGTGAAGTAGTTAATAAAAGCACAGAATGATGTAAATTAAAGTAAAATAAAAAGGTTCACTTTAAAAATTGGTAAACCCCAAAATTTATTATTCTGTTTTAATATCTATTTTTGTTGCCTTTCAATTCTTTAACAAGAATTAACACAATAGAAAGTCACTATGAATTTATGAAATCTATATTTTGGGAATGTAAGATATTTTGGACTATTATACTAATTACTGCATACTGTATTATTCTAATACTATACTAATATATTTTATACTAATATACTATATATCTAAATACCAACTTGATAAAAATTTCTGTAGATGATTTTAATATAAATTATTATATAAGTAATTTGATTTTTCAGTTTCTTGCAGCTAATATGTTCTTTTGTATTTGAGAGATGAAGTTTTCACTGATTAATTTGATAAGCTTTCCCTAAATCTCAAAAAATATTTTGTAATTAATTGTATCAGAATAATAAAAAATCCTTAATAATCTCTGTACTAGTTAAGTTCATCATTAGGCACCAGGCATAGTAATATTCATTTTAGCGTCCGCTAAGCCACATTGTGTCCCACCACTTGGGAACATTACTAATGTTTAAAAGACCATAGAAATGGTACTGTCAGGATAAAGAAAAACTATAAAGTGAAAAAAGAATATAACAAGTATGCCAACCATGCATGCCAGGAGAATATTAACTGAGCTAAGAGAATTAAACACTTATTTTTCCTGATGAGACCACAACATGCCTCTCCCTCAAGAAAAATCAATTAAATTAAGAAAAACCAACATTCAGATTCACTGGTGAGGCCTCAGTCTTTAAATTTGGGTAAAATTGGTTTTGTCTTAGGATTCTTAGTTTCTACAATCATTTCCCTTCCATATGCTTTAGTACTATACAGCAAATAGATAAATTATTAAAAGCTGCTTTGGCTCTAATAAGAACTTTCTTGAATGGAAGGTCAGCTCTACTCTTTAACTGTATTTCTGTGTAAGTTTTTTCACTAATCTTGAGTATATTGCTACTGAGATTGGATAAAGATGGATTAAAAAAATGAAAGACACAAAAATGAGATGGAATCATATAAACTGCTGTTCTCAGAAAGACTGTACAAATAAAACAGTAAATATTGCTAGATATGTATTTAAAATTCATTGAAATATAAAGAATAGTGTTAATGTATATCTGTTTTCATTTGACTAGTTTTATGTACAGTGGGTATGTACAGACAAAAAATAAATTAGGATGTTCAGAAATTATTAAGGGAGAGGGACATGTCACAAAAGGAATTGAATTCACAGCATTTGTTGAGTACCTATTATGTGTTAGGCACAATTCTCACTAGATACTAGGTTTTCAAAGATACCTAAAATACAAAGAATAATAAAGAGCTTACACTCTCAAAGGGACTGATAACTGTAAAATTAACTACAGTAGTGTGGAGTGCTTTTAGTAGTATTAACAAATCACTATGAAAGCACAAAATAAATCATGCCATTTAGTTAGGCTGGAGAAAGTTTTAGAGAAAAGATGACAATAGAATTTGGCCTTAAAAGTTGAATAGGGTTTCACCAGGATGTAGGTGCTCATTATGGAAAGGAAAAATGGAGGCATGAAACTGCATTTTCAAGAGTGAGAGTCTTATCTGGAATGTGATATTGGAATTTAGATTGAGAGCACCTTCCAAAGGGTTCCTTACTAAGGAAGTTGAGTTTTATTTTATAAATAACAGGAAAAACCTTTGAGAATTTTAAAGCAGAGAAGTTACATAGGTCTGCATTTTAGAAAAGTAACGCCTGTGATAGTGTGGTGGATGGCTTTATGGAGAGAGACTAGAAAGAATATTGCAAATAACCTAGCCATGAACCCATGAGGGTGCAATTAGGGCAATAGTAGTGAGAAGAGAGAAAGGGGGGTGCATTTTGGAAGTAGAATTGGTAGGATTAATGACATTTTACATATAATGAGTTTTAGAAGGGGAAAGGAGTCAGATATGTCTCAGATTAGTATAACTAGTAGAATGACGGTGTCACTAACTGATAGAGGGAGTGTGACAGAAGCAAATTTGGTAGATGAAAATAATGAATTTAATTTGGCAGCTATTGAACTTACAGCACCTGCAGGACACCTAGCTTGAAATGCATACCATGCACTTGAAAATGTGAACTTAATTATAGGAGAGAGGTTGGGAGATACGATACAGATTTAAGAGTTATTACCATAAAGATGAAATTTGAAGGTATAGGTATTACCATCTGTGGAAGGCAGGGAGATCTTGAAGGCTAAACAAGAAAGAGCCTTGGGGAATGCCAGCATTTTTTTAGTGGGGTGTGTGTGTGTGTGCGCATGCGTGGAAGTGGGGGAGGCCTGATGAGCACAGTGAGGAAGGTGGGAGGATGGAGAGAGGGTAGGACCATGAAAGTGAAGAAAAGAGGCCCCTTCAAGAACAAGTAGGTCACATGTCATGCTACAGAGCTGTTAAAGGATAAAGAACTTGGAGAAAAATTTTTTTGCTAATTTGCAGGTGATAGACAAAAAGAATCAGTAGAACAATGAGGGTAGAAGTCAGGTTGTTGAGGAGTGATGGGAGTAGCATTAGAATTTGAGAGTAGCAAGTGTGGACTTCAAGATTTAAGGCAGAGAATTGGGTCAAGAAAAAAAAATTGGGATCATGAGAAGAACGTATTTGTGGGCTGAGGAGAACATGCTGGTAGAGCAGGAAAGATTCTAGAGTTAAGCATATGGGAGAAGGGAGAGGCCGGGAAAAAGGACACATGGAGAGGTGAGCCTCTCACCTTGCAGAGGAAGATTGGAAGATGTTTAAAAATAGATAAAATGAAGGGGAAGTAATAGGTGACCTCATGTCTGTTAGGCTCTATAAAAAGTACTATATGCATTTGTAGAATTTTTGGTAGTTTGAAACATTCTGTCACATTTGAAGTCCCCATGAAAGAATACGCACCCCAAGAAAAAGATTATGAAATTATATATCCAGTGAAAGCCCTGTCTATAGATTTAAATATTAGGCTGAAGAGTCAGCTTCTACACTGTTACTTAGTGCTCACTACTTATCATCTAGTTGAATTAAAATCTGTGTATCAGTTATATAACAAGGAAATAAAACTTTAAGAAAGCAATGAAGGTATAAACATTTATAGAATTTTTATGTTTAAAAATTAAATTTTCATTCATAACAAGAGGTGGCTTAATGTAGTAGTTAAGAACAGTCCCTAGATTTAGCTTTGGATTTGAATCCTGACTTCCACTTTAAAGCCACTTGATTTGGGGCAAGTTACTTAATGTTTTGGAGCCTCACATTTCTCACCTGTGTACTGAGGTTGAAAATACCTCAGGATTTTTGTGAGTATGAAATTGTTAATATTAAGTGCTCGGCCAAGTTAAAAAAATGGTAGCTCTTAATATTAGTATTTTGGAATTGTTTTCATTTTTTACTATTTCCCAAAACTTGTGTTAGTATTTTCATATGAACCCTTTTATGAATGTGCTCATTTTGATTACATTTTATATTAGGTTGAAGAACTTAATGGAGAAATTAATGAGATTAAAAATGAGTTATCTTCACTTAAAGAAACTCATATTAAGTTACAAGAACATTACAGTGAACCATGTGATCATAAGTTTGAGGAAGACAGTAAGTTTCAGGTAATATTCAAATATGTTGGGGGTACGAACTGTTAAATTAGGACAATGGTTCCCTTTTCTCCACATCTTGCCAACACATTTTTTGTTGACTTGATAATAACCATTCTGACTAGTTTATATTGATTTGTATTTTCCTGATGATCAGTGATGTTGAGCATCTTTTCATGTCTGTTAGCCACCTGTTTATCTTCTCTGGAGAAATATCTCATGTCCTCTGCCCTTTTTTTTATCCAATTGTTTATTTTTTTAATTATTTTCTTGAGTTCCTTATCTACTTTGGATACCAACCCCTTATTACATGTATCATTTGTGAACATATTCTCTGGTTCAGGAGGTGGTTTTTCTGTTTTGTCAGTTTCCTTTGCTGTACAGCTTTTCAGTTTGATGAAGTCCCATTGGTTTGTTTTTGCTTTTATTTTCCTCGCTCCAGGGGATATATCCAAAAAAATATTACTGATATCAGATAGTTTACAACCTTTCTTCTAGTTTTATGGTTAAGTCTTTAATCAGTCAGCTCACATTAATCACCTTGTCTAAAACCCTTTAAGTGACTTCTCAGTCTTCCTGGTAGTTGGAATTCTTTAGCAAGCTATATTAGGCCCTTAATGACCTAGGCCTAACTTACCTCAAGCCTTAATTTCTCTCCATTCTTCATCTAAGCTCTGGCTGAGGTAAGCCACAAGCAATTCTTTGGACTATAATCTTGCTTGCTTTTATGTACCTGTATATGCCATTTGTTCTCCCTGGAGTGTCTCCTTATTCCTGTATATTAAAGCTGCCTATTATTTTTTACCCTGTTTTCCCTGTTGGACTGATAAGTTTTTGAGGACAGTGCAGTGCTTCCATGTATTGCGTGCCCAGTAAATGGGAATAAAAGAGTGTTGAACTGATTCACTATTTTAAAGACACATAAAAATGCCAAACATTCAAAACAATTTGCCAGCCACGACTGCCTTGCTTTTAATAAAGCAGTGATTCTATATAATGTGTGGTATAATAATGTGGAACACATGTTTGAAAATATCTAAAGGTCTCTATTTTGTTTAAATATGGTAGATTATTTATTAGGTTGGCTAAAAAGTTCATGTGGCTTTTTTCCATAAAGTAAAAGACACATTTTTTATTTTCACCAAAAACTCTGTTGATTTGGGTATTTTGAATATGTCGGCTCTCTTCCGGGTGTGACATTGATTGTTCTCAGTGAAATGTCTCTATTTGATTGCTCTCAGCTTTAACTTGTCCACCCAACCGTGAAGCATCATCCAGCGAGAAATTTCCAGCATGAAACTTCACAAACCACTTTGACATGTTCGATCAGTTACAGCACCTTCTCTATACACTGCACAAGTCATCTTTTGTGTTTCAGTTGCATTTTTACCTTTCTTGAAATAATAAAAGTATAATACATCAAAAATGTTGCTTATTTTCATCCATCTTCAGTATTAAAATGGCTACACAAAATTCACCAATTTTGATAAGTTTCTTAAAAAATGCAAGCTGAGATGACAGCCACCACAATATAATCCAACAAAATTGTTTTGAATGAAGTTAAAGATAACAAAGCACTACTAGAGCCATCTTAATGGAAAAAAACCAAATGAACTTTTTCGCCAACCCAATACATAGAATGAACTGAAAGTGACCTATTACAAATAATATATTAAATTTAGTTAAAAAGTCATTTGGCTTTCAAATAGAAACTGCTGGATAGTTGAGTTGAAACACAGGTTCCATTTTTATTGGTGCAATTTGTTTAAATAGTATACATTTTTAAATAATTTTTTACATTAAAGGAATCTTTTCCATTTTACACTAGACACTTCCAGAAGTAAATACTGAAGACAGTAAAATGACAATGGGAAGATCACAAAACATCATATGGAAATATAATTCTGGGCAAGAAATAAGGGAAGAAAAAAAGACCGGGAATTTTTGTTTTGATACTGAATGTAGAGAAAAGGAGGAAAAGAAAGAAGGCCCACTTATAGAAGAAATCATTACAGAAGGTAACCTAAGATTATATTGCTATCTTCTAATTTGTATATTGAGCTTTGTAGGGGAATATCAATTACAGTCTTTGCTTTGAGGATAGTTGTTGTGTAGTTGGAGAAAAACTTTATTTGTATATGTCTTAACAAAACAGGCTTTCTTTGAGCTCTTCTTTACAGTCAATTTTTTTGGGGGAAAAATACATTTCTGCCTTCCCTTCTTTTCATCCCTTTGCTTTTTGCTTTCTGGTTTCTGCCTTCACTGCTTTGCTGACAATGTCCTGTGGGCTAACAGTAACCTTCTGATGACCAGACCTAGAGTATGTTTCTTCATTCCGACGACTTTCTGTAACTGTTATTTACTAATTCATCCATCTTGAAAAGGAGCTGTTTACTGATTGTTTGAAGGTGTTCAAAACTAGGCTGAACTACCACTTGGTGGAGATGTTGTAGAGAGAATTGGACTAAAAAAGCCCCACAAGTGCCTGAACTTTATATTCCAGATTATTGTTACTAGACTGAAATTTTGAAATCTTTGGAACCCAGATGAATAAAATTAAGTAGATATTCTATACACTTGGCCAAAACTCTTCCACAATTTAGAAATACTTACAAGGTAGGGAGAAAAAAGAGTGATGATAGTGTTGAAGAAAGCAGCTAGCAATTTCTAGATCTAAGTAGTAATAGAAATTATAGTATAACCTGTTAGGATAATTTGATTTTTATCTAATCAGCCATGTTTTTATATGGACATGTACTATATGCCCAAAGGGAGATAACAGACTAGAGAGAGAAAAAACATTTTGTAATACCCTCAACTTGTCCCGTTTTAAACCAAAAATACTTTGGATTTTTTAGTGTATAATGTAAAAATTTACTGTTTTCATCATGACAGATATACAGCATATTGAAAAAATCTCCAAGAATGAAATTGACACTGCTGTACCTCAAGATGAAAATCAAGGTGAAGTCTCCCTAAGCAAAACCCTCTGCATAGAAAAAGAATCAGTTAGTCAAGGGCAAATCTTGAATGTTACTGACTTTAGAAAACCAGTTACTACAGAAATTAAAGACAAGGTGGGCTTGGAAAAAGACAATGGATATACAGAATTTAAATCAAATAATTATTTTTTAGTGGCAGATATATCCACAGAAACAGAGGGCATTCACCTAGAAAGAACTGAAAGATTAGATGTTCACCGTGCAGATTTACATCTGGGGGTGGAAAATCACAAAACATCATTTAACAGTATCTTAAATGAGGTGGCTCACAGTACAAATCATAAAAAAGATGTTTCTGAACAACAGTTTAGATTGCTTCCAGAAACTCAAGAAAATGCTGCAGAGAAGGAAACTACAAATAGTGACCAAATCAAAACAGATTTGGATTCATCTCCGGATGTAAAAAAGAAATACAGTTCACATGATTCAAGTAATGTTACCTTGGATGATAAACAATGTAAAATAGAACAAATACAATTGTTAAATAAAAAAAACGAGTGTAGCATATTACCATTTAAACAAACTTCAGATGTTCAGCAAGGCTGTACAGACACTTTCGGGAACCCTGAACTAACTATTCCCTGTGACACTGCCGTCAACCACCCCATTTCATCTGCTGTTTTCAGTGATAACTTGGAAGTACTTAAGACTTCAGATAAAAATGATACTGCTATGCCTATGTTGGTGAAATCCAACTCAAGCCCTGGGGAAAGAGCTGTATGTACAACCCTGAATGATACACAGAACAGTCAGTTTACAAACAGCTTGGGATATTTAGAAAACAATGTGAACATTTCCCATCTTCAAGTTAACAATGAGAATATACATGCTTCACGAGCCAAAGACATGAAAACTGCTGTTCACACGAAAACTTACACAGAAACACAGTTTTCCAATAAAGAGAGTCACGTTGACGGGAATCAGATAACTGAAGCCACAAAAAATGACCTTTCCCTGTTTGTGAATGTTATTGAGAGACAGCATACGTTGTTAAATAATACTGAGAAAACAGAGTCATTAAATGACATCGTTTCAGGAAAAATTTACAGTGAAGGACAGCTGGAAGAATCATGTTCATTTCACATAAAGCCATCTGGAGATTTAGTAAACAGAAGTGGAAGGTCAGTCTTTGATCTTTTAACTTCAGATAAAAAAACTGAGAAAACTCCAGTATATGTGAATTTTTTAGACCCCAGTCCTTGGTCAAAAGTAAATCAAACTGAAAGTCAAACAGTGAGCACTTCAACTTCTAGCATTCCTTTGTTGCTGAACAAGAGACCAGTCAGTCCATCAGAAAATGGAGAGATTGTTTCAATGACACTTTGTAAAAATGCGGCTGTGGATGATGTCAGCAAGGATATTGGGCCAGGTAAGAAAACGTTTATGTTTCCTTTTGAAATTTGTTATTTCTACTTAGTATTTTTGTTAAAAATTCACCAGATTGTGTAAAGTGAAAATATGTATATATTAGTGTTTATTTTTTGCCTAAATTGAAAATACTCCACACACACACACGTGTAAAGGTTTTATTTAAATGAAAGTGAATTTCTTTTCATTTAAATCTGAACCAGTATTATCAGGATGTACTGAGGTACAATTGCGTTTTGGAAATTTAAAAAAAATTGATCAAGGAACTGAAAATAACAAAAGCAGAGGTCTGGGTGACTAATTTTAGGTGAGGAACAGCTACCTAATCTGAGGTCTTTATTTTTTAGAGCAAATGCATTGAAGTTGATGAAGCTTCTTCCAGGGTACATGTGTGTCTTTAACACACACACACCCGCCCCGGAATATTTTGTCACTTCTTCAATTTTCTCCCTTTCTTCATTTTTCTATTTTATCTATTCCTTCACAAGCACCACAAACCTAGCTCTTTTATTTTACGATATGGAGGTATATAGCATGTATACATTTCATATTATTGCACTGAAACACTTTAAATTGAACCACTTAATTATGTACTATATTAATACTCAAATGCTATTTCATATGCTGTTCTATTATTTAAAGCCACCACTTGAAATAACATAATGTCCAAATTTTGCTTTAAAATGTACCAGAATAAAAAAAAATAAGGGAAAAGGTAAATGGGTAGAAAATGTATGATTTAATATTGATGGATATTAAAGTTGGGTAATGGATACTTTGAGATTCATATTCTTTGGTGTACTTGAAATTTTTCATACTGAAAATGTATTACATATTATGTATAGGTGCTGTATAAATGTAACTTGGAGATAACAAAGAGCAAGTTTAAGAAGTATGATCATGAAGAAAATCTTTACTTTGCCAATAGCAGCCTCATATTCAAAGCTGTTTAGGTTGTTAAAGAGTCTTAGATTTTAAGGGACTTTGCCTGTTCAATAATACCCATGTAGACCCATTAAAAGAAATGTAGATTATAAGGAAAACTTTGGCCCTCAGACTTAACAGCCTTCTTTTAAAAGAGAAAATAAAAAAAAAAAAAAAAACAACTGGAAACTAAAAGCATGGTAAGTACTTCTTGTTTTCTTTATGAATGGAAAAGTAGTAGGAAAAAAATAGGAAACATCAAAGTACTGTAAAATCCTCATTTCAGAAACTCTTATTTTCCTAATAATATGTATTAAGTTCAGATTCCATTAATTTTGTCTGTCAAATGCTGTGGTTAGTCATGTGCTCTGTCAATGGTCTGGTCTGTTGCTTACTATTTTCTCACAGGTCCTTTCTTCTCAATTAAATCTCAATGATATAAATAATAATGGAAGGGGAGATACCTAAACTTCCAAAAAATTCAACCTGTACTCAAACTCATAAAACATCTCATAAATATCCTTTAACCTTCAAAGTAGACATGTTCCTCCAAGTTACTTTTATCTACTTAATAAATACTAGATGACCCTTTGTTGGCAGCCTACTTGTGACCGATTTCTTTTACTCTGAATTGTAAGATGTTCACTATATAAATGTTTACATGTACAGGCAATGTAGTAACTGGGGGATAAGGATAACATTTTGTTTTATAAGATATACCACTTCCCTCATTTTGTGAAATCAAGTTTTAGAAAGTAACAATAAAACAACTTGTTTTCTGAAATTTGGAAAACTACATAAAGTTCAAAGTAAAAAGAAAATTGAAGTTGTTACTTTTAAAATACAAAACCAGATTCAGAGAAAAACAAGTTCAGCCACAAAAATGGGTGCCTGGAGAATAAATTCAGTTGTTGCCATTTCCTTTGTCAAGCAGATACTACCGGCATTGACAGAGCTGCTGACACTCGGAATAGCTCCACTATCCGTCCCGATCCCAAGGGAGAGGCCAGTGAAGAGAGGAATGCAACTGCAAAGACTTTTTATGATTCTTCTTTTCCCACAGAACATGTAAGTCAATTAAAAATATTGCCAAGCAGACCTTAGTGAGCTAATTCTACAGATATGTGTAGAACTGTATGCATCTGGATGCTTTAAGACCTAACTGATCTCCGAAATAATATCAAGAGGGCAGCATGGCACCATTTTTCACAATTAAGGTTGATGGAAAACAGCAGGAAAAAGTCACAGTGTATAAATCAAATAGATATAATCCAGCCTGTTTGGGGAAGGAAAGTGTGAGGTAGTGTATTATGTATTTCTATATTTTAGTCACCTCAATTTAACAATAGTGGCATTTGTATATTTATTTTTAAAGTTCACCAGTTTGAACATTTAAAATTTTATTCCAATTAAAGATGTCTTATATAGTCAGTTAATAAATTCAAATGTGTTTAATAGTGCTTAATGTAATTTACATTTTGGGAAATTGTTGTGAAGGAAAAAATTTATTTTAAATTATTTAGAACACAGAATAAGGATCAAATATCCATAAATATATGATATCAAATATGGATGTAAAAATTAAGCAAAGTATTTGTAGAGATTATATGGCTTCAGGAGTCTATTTGTCATATGAAAAACAACTACAGCTGACAGGTTTTTTGGTAAAATTTGTAAATTTTTTTAATCTTAGTGTGCAAAACTTCAGTGCAGAAAACGCCATGTTGTTCAAAGTACAAAAAACAGACTATAGGTGTAACTGCTAAAAGATAACCTAAAAAAGGTTAGGTAAAGTTATTTAAAAAATTGTATAGTGAGATTTTTAAGTTAGTATATTGTTTTAAACTTTAGAGATGCATATTAAACAGCTTTCTCTTTAACATATAAATGAAAATTATAGAGAAAACCCTAATATTAAGTTTTTAATAATTTTTATTTATTTTTTGAGAGAGGGGGAGGGAGGGAGAAAAAGCAGGAAAGAAACATTGATCAGTTGCCTCTCATATATGCCCGACTGGGAACTGAACGTGCAACCCAGGCACGTGCCCTGACCAGATTAGAACCAGCTATACCTTTTGCTTTCCAGGATAATGCCCAACAAACTGAGCCACACTGGTCAGGGCAACATATAACAGATTTCAACAATGTATTTCATTTTCCTTTTTAAATATGAGACACCACCACTGAGATAGTCTAATTCTCCTTCTGGGAGGATTGAAACTAAAATCAGATCCACCTTTTTTCATCATTGCGCTTAGAGTTTCTTTCAAATTGGTGTATGTGTATTTTTAAAAGATGGTAACTAAAGCCCAGTAAATCTGGCATTGGGAAATCCTTGGCCAACTGGCTCAGTGGCCAAATGCAGCCTGCTGCCTCCTTTTAGTAAGCATGGTTGTATTAGAGCACAAGCACACCCGTCCCTATACCTATTGTCAATGGCTACTTTTGTGTTACAGTGACAACCAGCTGTGAGGGAGGCCACTTGGCTCACAAACCCAAATATATTTACTTCTGGCTCTTGACAGAAAAACTTTGCCAACCTTTGTTCTAAATGAAGAAAAATTTATGTTATGAAGACTTATAGCTAGGAAGGGAATAAAAGTTTATATTTTTCAACATATTTTTATGTGCACTCGCCACACTAATCTGTGTAGTTTGTAATTATCATGAACTAATTCACCTTTTTGATCCTGGAGGGGGTTAGGTTGGTAGCCTGCTGTAATTGTGATCATACCAGGAATGAGGATGGCAAAGGGGCCAAGTAAGCAAAGAAGGCCCCTTATTTTATACACCCAATGAATTAGGTTCATTTCAGTTAAATTTTAAAATGTAACCTCAGGTCTAGTACCAGATCTGAGCCAGGCAGAAAGAGGATAGGAGGTAAGTGGTTTTTAGGACAGGAAAGGAAGGAGCAAAGATATGTGGCATGTTTAGAATTAGAATTAGTGCTTGTAGGCTGCAAAACCCCAGTTAAGCTAAATAGCACAAGTTTTGTTAAATATAAAAGTTTAATATATATTACATCATTTCTCTCTACAGCCAATCTCTGCTCGTGCTCCTCCCACCAGCTAGTTCAGGGGAAGAAACTAAAACAGATATGTGTAAATGTCTCCTTCCTTTTCATCAAGATAAAAAGTCAGAGTCAGGATTTTTGAAAATGGGGTAATTTGTACTTGATACCAAATGCACCAAAATGTATCAAGCATTTTTACAATAAAACAGGACCATTAAGTCATAGGTCGTCAATCATTTAGCTTCAAAGTCAGTAGCAACCTAGATTTGAATTTGATACGTTTCTGTGCATCAACACTGCATGGATGACTTCTAATTCATTTTGGCCCCGTAAGCCAAATGAAGTGTGTTGAACATATTTTTATGCCAGACATTATCAGAAATAGACATTTACAAGTATTTTTACCCATTACCGGTTACTCTTTAAAACAGCATTTTATAAAAGGAGTTGATGAGAAAACTGAGGCCCACAAAAGTTAAATGATTTGCCTAGTCTCTTGGCAGTCCTTCCTAATACTTTTGTTTTTCTGTTATAAGAACACAGCATCGTCCAAAGGATCAGAGGGTAGGACTTGGAGGGGACAGGACTGTAGAATTCTCAGGAACCCAAAAGCAATCCTTAGGGAACTGAGATTAAATGTAAACATTTAGGATCAAATAAAAAATTAATAAGACTGTATTTCACTTTGAAAATGACAATGCCCTGACTTGTGTGGCTCATTTGGTTGGACGTTGTTGCACAAAGTGAACAGTCGCTGGTTCGATTCTCAGTCAGAACACATGGCCCAGGTTGCAGTTTAGTTCCCCAGTTAGGGCATGTGCAAGAGGCAGCCCATCAATGTTTCACACTTTGTTTTTTTCTTTCCCTTTCTTCCCATGTCTTTAAAAATAAATACACAAAATTTTAAAAGGGATGTTATGAACATGCCACTTTACCAACACAACTGTAAAAGATTTAACATAAAGCAATATTCAGAGATCTTCAAAGATTTATGAACAAATGATTTTTCATCATAGCCTTGTTTATACCAATAAATGTTTTCAAACAACTTAATATCCAACAGTATATTAAATTATGAAACATGGAATATAAAGGAACCATGATTTTTTAAGATTTTATTTGAGAAGGGAAGGGTGGAAGAAAGGGAGAGAAACATCTACCCAGTTGCCTCTCGTACATTCCCCAACCAGGACTGAACCCACAACCCACCCATGTGCCCCAACCAGGAACTGAACCAGGTACCGCTTTGTGGGGCCATGCCCAATCAACTGAGCCACGCCTGCCACAGCGCCACTCCCGGACAGACTTTTAATACGGGGTATGCTAAAAAATGATATATAAAAATATATAATATATATTTAAAATTATATATAAAATTATATTTATATATAAAAACATTTTATTATGTATTATACATAATTATACATAATAAAAATGTTTAAATTGGACTGCATTGTTCGTTGGCTCCCTCCCTAAAAATTCTTAACATAGAAAATGTATGTGATTCAAATTTTTAAAATGTGTATTTACATCAAAATGTTTAATGGTGGTTGGAATCTTGGGTAATTTTAATGTAATTCTTATCCTGTTCCCTAATTCTAAAATCTAACACACTCCCCTTTTAACAGGGGGTTTTATCTGGTAATCTGTAAACACTCTCAAAGTTTTGGGTTTTTTTTCCCAAGAAATTAAGTCAAATTTATTTGATAGGGATACATTCACATAAACATTCAATTGGGAGATAGTTAAATTACCAAACATCCATAAAGGGGAATATTTTGCAACCACTTACAATAAATTTGTGAGAAATTTTAATCACCTAGGAAACAGCTCAGAGGAAAAAACAAAGATAAAATTCTAGAGAATGACTGATTGATTATACTAAAAATAGAGAAAGAAGAACAGCAGCAAGCAGTACCAAAGTGTTGACAAGTCTCTCTGGATGGTGGATTACTGATTTTTAGTTACTTTATACTTTTCTCTATTTTGTAAATTTCCAGTATTTTATTACCAGGAAAAAAAAAACCCCTTAAAATGAGAAACATTTTTAGCACAGTTATTATAAATAAGTATGACCCAATACAGTGCTTTGTAAACATACCAACTTCCAAATACTGCATTGCTCCCTCTTGTTTCTCCAAAAATGGTGCTCTAAAGCATGAGAGGAACATGGAGTAAAAGGCAGTTTTTATATGGTAGTTTACTTCTGTTAGCATTTTTAATTTTTCCCTTGTTTTTACAGACGATACAAAACATAGACATGTTTGGGATGGGAGGGGAGTAGAAGACGATACAAATTTTTATCTCCCTGTTTTAAATATCTTCTCTTTCAATGTAATCTCAAGACCTTTTAGGGAACATCTGCGGTATTTCTGGAATATATTAAAAGATCTTGAAAAGCTGCTTATACATAAGCCTACAAATTCACATTTTATAGTTTTTTGGTGCCAAAATTACTTAGGTAGTACTGGAAATTAGCCAAGAAAATGGTGGCATTATCACATGCTCATAATTGCAAAAGTTTAAGGATGTTCTTGAAGCTCTTTAGTTGATGGGTGTTTAGAATAGGAGTAATAATTTCAGTGGTAAAACAAGTTTGGTCTTTCCTAGGTGAACACAAAGCCTCTGACCTCGAATCTACAAAGCCATTTTCAGGCTGTCAGGACTAAAAACACCATTGATTTAAATGTGTCTTCTACTGGGGAAGATGACTGGCAGAGCCTGCTAACAAATCAAATAAATGAAATTGAAAAGTACCTAGCATTAGAAAATGACAACCGATCTAAAAAAAGAAAAGCAGAAGAGATGTTGGAAAAAACAGATTAAAATAATGCCTGCAGTGGTGTAGTGGTGGCTTGACATGGCTTTGACGAGAGCAAAATGACTGTTACATTGAAAGTTGTTTCACAGATGTACTGCTCACTTTTCCAACTTTTTGTGATGTGGTGAAGTTACTACTACTACTATGTTTTTGCTTAGAAAATGCTTCATGACCGAAAAGTTTGCTGTTAGCATCCAATTGCCCTTAAATGTCTTTCCTTCATATAGTCTTTCATCAAAGCTCTTGCTGCACCTTCAAAACCCTTCCTCATAGAACACAACTTGAGTTTTATATACACGATACAGTGACCCTTTGTAACTTATTACTTTATATCCTCTGAAGAGTGTGATTTCTTTTACTTTCTTTTGAATTTGAGACAATAAATATTCAGACTGTAGTCAAATTTCAGCTTACAATGTTTTACTATCATTTAGATATTTTTCCTCAAAAAGAAAAAAATTATAGCATAAAAATTCAGGTGTCAGAAAGACTCAAAAGGCTGTTTTTCACTTTGTTCAAGTTTTGTTTCCAGGCATTGAGTGTGTCATACAGCTGTTGCCATTGCTGTTTTCCAAATGTCCGATGTGTGCTATGACTAAAAATTGAAAAATTAAAAAGTTATTAGTCAACCTTTTTTATCCCCTGGTATTCTTTTATAATACTACACACTTATATCTAATCAAAAGCAAGGTTAAATATACATAAAAGACAATTTACAACTAACAGAAAAATTAGAATCTTACATTAAAAAAAAAAAAACTTTACCATATTGATCCTGAACCTTCTATGTTCCTGAACTACATAAACCAGACACAAAAGTCATTAGTATTCTAGCCAATGCTGAGCCATTAAATGAAATGTGCTGGAAAATAGGACTCTTTCATTAAATAAGCTAATCACATTCAGTCTGAACTTTAATAAAATTATGATAAATAGCAACTGTTTAACTACAGTCAACTGATAAGAACACCACCTTGGTTCTCTAAACATGTAAGTGAAATAATCAGAACAAACTAAATCGTTCTACAACATGCTGTAAAATATTAAATGTCTTACCTGACAACTACTTTTCTCTGGGTCTGATCAATTTTGCAATACACCATTTTAGTTTTCACTGCTGAAAAAAGATTATTTTACATGATATGTTACATGGAAAATTCCAAAAGAAAAAACCACACCAAAACCCAGCTTAAGGTATGAAATTGTAACCAAGTAAGCCATAATAAAACTTCACAGTGTTTCAACATTATTTTACAAACTGGCTCTTTAATTCTAATAGTAAGCACAGCGACATGATACAACCAAGAGGAAGGTCAAGCATTTATTTATCCTATAGTTGCTGGGCCAGTCTCTATCAACTACCACGTAGAGTTTTCATTAAGAATTCCAGATGTTCTCCTCTACAATCATACATGGCAGAGGTGGACTAATTTCCTAATAAAATACTTCTTTTTAGGTATGTTTAAGACTTAAAGCATTAGAAACCATGTCAACAGTTTTGTTCATTTTATTAATCTTAATTGTACAATCCCTCCAACTTTCAAACTTAAAAGGCTCAGGAAAAAAGCCCTGATTAACAGTTAAATCACTTTATAACACAACTGTTGTAGAAGACAGTCCTGTTTCTAGGCCAATCATAAAAAACTGGTAATGGCTAACATTTGCCAGGCACTGGGGCTAAGTACTTCACCTGTATTAATTCATTTAACCCTCACGACTACAAATTACTTCTATATTCCTGTTTCATGTAGGAAGACCTGGTCTCAAACCCAGGTCTGATAGAGAAATCTAGGCTCTTAACCACTACTGGTATATCACCTAAAGGCCTTTGTTCTATATGACTTCAAGGGATACAACAAACAGCAAAAACCACACAGCAATTTATATTTCAGTTGAATTTTCACTCTACTATTACAATCTGATAATCTACTAAATATACACACTTGCTATAAAGAATCTAGCTTTGTTAGCATAAGGCTTAGTTTCAAGATTAAAATCCTTACACTCCATGGAGTAAAAAACATATAGGAAAAAATGAAAATGTTCTAATTGCCTTACCATCAATAACAAATGCTTCAACATCATCAGCTCCAATCTGAAGTTCCTGTTGCATTGTATCAAAAGAAATTTCTTTATTTTCCACTGCCATTCCCATAAAAGTAAGTAGTCTCATTTTTGCCATATTTTGTTCATGTAATAGTCCTGAATGACAACATAGGAATGACGTTTAATTAAAGTTATCAACTTAATAAAAGAGCTACACAATTACAACTCTTGTGTTAAATTGTGGAAGTCAATGTGTTTGAATACTTTACATAGAGTAATTTTGACAAAGCTTATATTTTTCAAACCATAAACTGACCCCATAATTATGGAGTTTTAAAATTATTTTTCTAGAACTACATTTATTTTAATTTTTATTAATTGATTTTAGAGAGGGATGGAGGAAGAGGGGAGAAAGAGAAAAACACTGATTTGTTGTTCCACCTATGCGTGCAGTCATTGGTTGGTCCTTGTATGTGCCCTGACTGGGGGTTGAGTCCACAACCTCGGCACACTGGGATGATGCTATAATAAACTGAGCTACTGGGCCAGGGCAGAACTACATTTCTTTATTACTACAGTACCATAGGTAATAGATCCAAAGTTAAGAATGGGCTATAAAATGGTAGTTTTAGGCTCTAAAAGCTTATCTCTTTTAAAATATTTATACATTTTAGGAGATAAAATGTAGAAAATATTTCATAAGAAAATTTTTACTTAATTGCATTGTTAAAGCTTATTTTTACTAATAGATCTCTTTAAACAAAGGGCTCCTTATCTACTTATAACTTGTTCTGTGTTTTACTGGTAAACATGGAGTTTTAAAATATTTTTAAATGCATTCAGTTATAAAAGAAGTCAAACCTGTAAAAGTGTTTATCATGTAACATTTACAGGCTAAAATGATTAGTAGTAGAAAAAAATTAAACAGTAACATTAATGAGGATACTAGTTCTTTAAAAGACATAAGTAGGAAACTATATAGATAATTGAAATTTTTGCCATATAACTTGTAATGCAACATGCTATTACAATTCTTCATATCAAAAACAATTGTTAGTCCTAAAAGGAAACTCAAATTGCTTGGTCCTGATCCTGTCACTTTAAAAAACAATAAAATTGAGGAGTGAAGAAATTAAACGACTGACAGTCATGAAGTTGCAGTACCAGGCCTTGAAAATAGGTTCATTTATAAAAGAGGTGACTAGCGCACCCTCCCCTTTGCCCCTCCTTCCCTCTCAGGCCTGCATCTCCTGAACTCTAAGGGACCGCCAAGAGACTTGCAACCAGGGGAGCAATAAGCAGTGGCTGCTTGTCCTGAGCTAATCCCCTGAACCTGTTTCCAAGGTCCCCCTTTCTCTGACTTCCCGGTGAGCCAAAGCAGCCCAGCCTGGGATCGCCTGTTGCTGCTTCTATCCTAGGTCCGTCCTTGTTTCATTGTCCCCAGGTTTAATAAACGTACTCTCAACATCAAAATAAATGACCAGAAATACAAATATTTTAAATATCCAAGTGTTTCATTTGTTCCTAAATAGAAGCTGAAATATAACATGCCAACTTATTAATTGTAAAAACACGTTTCTAAAATTAATCTAGAATTACATATCCCCTTTTTCTGAACTTTTAAATTATGTAAACTCAGCAAATGATCGATTAAGCTGTAATAATTACGAGCCTCAAGTTTGTATCGTTAAAAAGTTCTCCCTAAACACTCCATAAATAATCTGAAATATGCAACGTTCATATATTATCAGATGACTAGGGAAATCCATTAATATAGCACATAATAGTCTGTTAATTAGCTGTAATTATGATGCAGGCTTTCTATTTGGCACAGATTCAACAAAAACATCATCATCATAACTCAAATGAATGAGTAACCCAAGTAAGTACTGCTAACCAGGTTTAATGGAAATCTACAAGCATCAAGAAATTAATTAGTGCACATTAATGCTAATTAACAAATGAAAATTAGATGCTGATTAACTTTCTGAAGCAAGAAGGTAGCAACTGGATAACACCAGATTATATGTGGACATGTTAGGGCAATTCAGATGACACAAGATAATGCTACTGTTAGCCCAATTTGTCAGTGTTAATAAAACAAAGTGTTTTTGATAAACTGTTGCCACCTGTGGAACCTTGACATTTGTAACCAGACTTTAAGCCTTAATAAATTTCTAATATATCTAACACTAAAAATATACACATTCAGTAAGATGTTTTCCTCAAAGCATCTTTTACAAACAAATTTCTAATAAAAAGAGCTAATTTTCCATAGATGTTCACAAAACAAAAGGCAAAATGATCTGATTTCCAGTTGGCACAATAAATTAGAAATATGTTTTTCCTGTCACAGAGAATACTAAAGATTTTTCTCAATATTTGCATATACAAGAAAATTCCTTAATATTCCCATGTCTGTGGGCATATGTAATTCCCTTTTAATGTGTTCAAATGACAGAAACTCCTCAAATACTCTTGAAATAAAATTTATTTTACTGCTTCTCTTTGTGCAGTTACAAGCATAAAATAATTTCTAGAGTAAATTATGTAAAACCATTATCTATCAAACACAGGGGAACCTGTGTTTAAAAACATTTCAAATTGGTTTAAAGTCACTACTTCAAAACAAATCACCAATCTTAAAGCCTTTAGGACTCCTGCTCTCAAAATCAAGCTATTAAGCCAGTGAAGTATGAGTTAAAGACTTCAAGAAGCTGTGCTTTATTTCATGAAAGTAGAACATTACCTTCAAAGAGGAAGTCACAGTGTTCTGTGCCATATTTCAATTTTAAAGTTATAAAAAAATCTAATTTTATGGAAACATTTATTCATTACTAATATGTCAAAACCTTAATGCAGTAATAAAAAAATGTGCATCATTGAGCAATTTCTGCATTGTCACTGACCCTTGCCTTAAAATGCGGCAATATAGAAAACGTAATTTTAATGCATGCAATAGCTTATGAACCAGTGCTCCTTTGAAACAGTCA